GGCATGGCTGGGAGCTGCAGGAACTACAACTCCTTGGAGGAAGACATGGAAATCTTTCCATTATTACATCCAATACCTGGTATGGCAAGTGATCCTGAAGCCTGTGACTCTGACAGGACAAGAATTGCTCTTGGAAAGCTGTTACCTCAGCACATTGAAGAAAAACACAGTAGTTCAGTAAATCACTGTGTCTTTACTTTGGTTTCCTCACCTGCCAGGTTCTTGTGAGGCTCCTAAGTCCAGATTTTTTTTTTTAGTTTTATAATCATGAATTAGAAATCATTTTATATCATTTTATATATTTTATAATCATTTTATGCAATCATAGAAAATGTCCCAAAGTGTGTTTCTGCTCTTTATCATAATGAGTGATCTCTCCATGTTCCAGTGAAAATTATTAAAGAGATTTTTTTCCTTGAGTTAAGTCAGTAGTCAAGCAGTTCATGTTGTACAAGTGCTGAATCAGATCTGAAGTTTCCTTTGTTTTGTCAAGTATTCCATTATCAAGGACTCAAACTCTGTAGAGGCAGCCCTTGAGCACTGAGCAGCCCCTGTGCAGTGCCCAGGTGATGAATTCCAGCCTGGGCTCACAGATATTCCCCATCAAACCCGAGTGCACCTTCCAGAAATGTGCACAGAATTCAAAATCAGCATCGTTGGCTTTGCTGAGAGAAAATATTTCATCTTTTAAGTCCTTTTCCATAAGGAATGACACAGAGAAAAGGTATTCAAGAGTTTTCCACTCACTGGTTTGGCTACTTGAAACATCAGGACAACAATAATTCCCTGCTGCATGGGAGAAAATATCTGCTTATTTCCCTCTAATTTCCTTTAAAATTTCCATTTTTGTCTGGCAGAGACCACTGTTAAAAAGAGTGAAAATAAAGGAAAGTGATACACATTTATCAGCCATTATCAGCCCAGTCTCATGTCAAGTGTTAAACAAGATTTTTCATTCAACAACAGCACAGGGGAATTCTCTTAGGAAATTCCACGATCCCCATGTAGCAGCAAATGCTACTTTACCTTTCCCTGAGGATTAAATAGTTTCACTAGTGAAGAAACAACTGAGCAATAACAGTATTTAAAAAAAAAAACAAACCGGCCTTGCTTTTAACTGCTTTGTAAAACATGGCAGAGGTTTCTACCTGGGAAAATTGTTCATTTCTGCTGGTGGATAAAACAGCCAAACCTTTGCTCTGCCTTCATCACAGCCAATATTTCATTAACTCTGCTGACATCCTCTTATTTACAGCTTATTCTTTATTAGAAAAGGAGTTATTTTAGGACAGAACACGAATGAGAGTAATGTAAGAGACATCACAATAAATCTAATTTCCACATTTAACCCACTGCATCTCTCTGGGCTCAGGGCAGGCTGTCCTGACCTTCACTTCAGGGCTGCTCAGGATTCTTTTAGGGATCCATCTGCTATGATTGAAGCACACAAAACTCCCATCACAGATTCTTGGGCTAGGTAATAATTTCAAGTTTGGAAGACTCAGAGAGTGAAGGGCAGCCCTGGCGTGGGCAGAGAAGCAGAGATGGTGGCAGGGCTGCATCAGGGGCTGCTGCTAAGGAAAGGTCTGGCAGTGCAGAGCTGACAAATCCAGCTTTGTGCCGGGGAAATCTCATTTTTCTGGCCAAGAAAGGAATGGGAATTGGGTCCTGCACATCCCTGCCAGGGGCACAGGTCAGTAGCCCTGAATCCAGAACAGCACAGAGGCATTTTCCCCTGAACACACTCTAAAAAGATGAGGCTGCTGATAAATATTGTCAAATCTGGACCTGTTTTAACATCATTTTTAAACAATCATTATAGAAGCACAGGGGTGTTTTCCTCAGTAACTGTTCCAGTTAGAGAACAGGGTTTAACTGCAGCAGCTTCCCCAAGTGCTGGAGTTTGCACACAGAAAAGTTTTGAAGTTGAGGTGCATCCCAAAATGTTTCTGTTTCTGAAGCCCATCTCCAGAAGCCACCTCAGTAAATCACTCTGGAGGCTGAAAAGCTCCTCTGCAACCAGAATCAGCCCAGGGGTCAAGTAAAACAAGCATGAAAATCCCCCCTTGTCTCTATAAACCTCTGGGGGTCTGAAAACCTCTAAGAAATGCTCAGGAGAGGGTGATTCTGGCAGCCAAACCCACAGAAATTTCTTTCCCACCTGTTTGGTGAGCACAGCTATGAGAGCCTGAGTCATGCCAGGGTTTTGAAATGCACATTTCCTCTCCACCTGCAGGGAACAAAACAGGTCAGGAAGAATAAAACATGGGAAGGAGCTAGAGAGGGGAAACAGAGAGGGGATGAACAATGGTGCAAGGGAGGTTTTTCCTCCCAAGGACTCTTCTCCCCTGGGACTCAAAGGTGGCAGGGGAGCACAGCCAGGAGGTGAAGCTGCACAGCAACTACAGGGACAGCAACAAGGGCTCCTCTTGTTCACTGACCAGGGCATGGAAAAACAGCAGGTTTGGGGTTTTTGGGGATCAGGAAGTGAACAGGAGCACAGCTGAAGGAGGACTCTGCTCCCTGGTGACAAACACGTGTGCTGCCCAGTGCCTGAGCTGTGAAGGGAGCTCTGCTCAGGGACTGAGGACAGGAGGTGGGGAGGGCATTTCAGACGCTGCTTTCAGCTGATGGTGGCACTTCCTGGGCATTGCCAGAGCTGCAAGGAAACCCCAGATGGACCCTGAGCCTCCTGACTGAGCCAGCAAAGCCAGGGGTGCCAGCCTTGGCCGGGCCAGCCAGGCTGTGCTGCCCATGGTGGATCTGCTCTGAGAGCAGCCCCAGGCTGCAGATCCTTCCCTCCAGGCCTTGGCAAAGAGGGGGGAGAGCACTGGACAAGGAAAACTTGGGGAATAAACACAGATATTCCCATCCCTAACTCTCCAGCCTTCTCTTCACCAGGTTCTGATGGAAAGGGGACACAAACCAAGCTGTAATTTCATTTTATACACCATGGATTGGGGCAATGCTCTGCCCTTACTCTGCTCTCCTCTCCAAGGTGCGTGGATTTCTCTGTCCAGGAGGCTGGGGACAGGATTGTGGGACATCATTCTGGCAATTTTCCACTCCTCAGGTGCACAGCAGCACTGCCAGGACACAAACCCACTGCAGCACTGGGGTGGGTGTGAGAGCAACCTGCCTGCTTTGCAATAATTGCAATTGCCATTGTTTTCACATTGCAATAATTCCAGTCGCTCCCTGGATCCCTGGACATGAAGCAGGAACTGGCAGCTGAGGAGCAGCAATTTATTAGATGAGAATACAAAATATTTTGTGACAGATCATGGGGGTTTTCCAGTGCTGAGCAGGGAAATCCTTTGGAAAATAAGGAGAATACAAAATATTTAATGGCATTTCAGATCACTGAGGTTTTCCAGTGCTGAGCAGATAAATCCTTTGGAAAATAAGGAGAATACAAAATATTTAATGGCATTTCAGATCACTGAGGTTTTCCAGTGCTGAGCAGATAAATCCTTTGGAAAATAAGGAGAATACAAAATATTTAATGGCATTTCAGATCACTGAGGTTTTCCAGTGCTGAGCAGATAAATCCTTTTGGCAATAAGGGCTGACACGTTGCTGTCTTTGGTGCAGACACAGCTTCTCCCCCCCCTCAGCACTGGCCTCAGAGCCAGTGTGGGTTTGCTGTCACACAGGAGGCTCCATCCCACTATTTTTAGTGCTTAATGGCAAAGCTGATGGTGCCATTAATCCACTTGGGTGTACAGCATTCCATTTCCACCTCAAATTGCGCCTCAGTGCAAGTGGTAGCTTGTCCTGCTGTCACATACATTCAGAAATTCATGATGCAACACATTTAATGACTTCCTGTCCCAGCATATTACCTGTGCAACTTGGGGATCAAATCCCCAGCTATTTTTTTCACTTAAAACTACTGCACTGGACACTGTCCTTGTAAATCTGTCACCTGGAGGTTAAATTTGAGAAGTGTTGCCTCTTGGTATTGAATTATGGGTGCAAGGCAGTAATTCTGGGAGCTCACAATGAAACTGGGAGAGATTTGTGACTTTTTTAAAGCTAACAAACCTGCAGCAGAAGCCCCAAACATTACTATAAGTGACATTGCACTTGATTCCAAAGTATTTCTGCAAAAACATGAGGTGGGAAGGGTTTGGACATCAGCAAGTGCTTTTAAAAAAACCAAACTAAGAATATTGCAGCACAGAAATACACAAGGAACGAAGTGCAAGGAAAATCTACCTTATGCTTGCCTGCTCACGTGTGATAAATGAAAATCTCCTCAGTCCTGCAGAGGTTTGAATGGGATCAATCCCGTTTAAGACCAGTCCTAGTGGCCACCCAAAGGTGCACGGAGCACCCTGCCCGCCCCGAACCCTCCCACGGAGCAGGCAGAAAGTTTTTCGGGGTGGATTTTGCGTTTTCCAGAGGGCTTTTCCGGCAGATCCAGGCTGCTCGGCCTCTGCAGAGGGCGCCAGACAGTTTGGGATGCGCGGGATGCTGCTCCAGGTGCTCCAGCTGTCACTCACCGAGGCGCTCGCTCTCCAATGGCCAACGCTCCGCTCGCAGGCTGGAGTAGGAGTTGGTTTTTCTTTCTTGCATGTATAAATCCCTTAGTTCTCGGCTCCTTTCCTCCCACGGAAATAGCAGCAGATGCTGGGCTGAGCTGCAGCACGCTGCCCCGGCAGACGGGGAAACTCCCTGCTTTTCACCACCGGGAGAGCTGAGCCCCGCAATGTCCTGCTGCCGATTCCTCCCTGCAGACACAACTGCTCGCTGCCCACGGGCTTGGGAGCTCACTTTCTTCTAAAGGAAAGAGCAGCCTGGCATAAAACTCACTGTAAATGCAGATTGTTTGATGTTCACCCTGGTAAAAGTGACTAAAGTCCTGCTTGATTGCACCCCATATGCACAGCAGCAGCTTGGAAGGACTCGTTTTCCCTTTTCTATTTTGTTTGCTCTTTTTAAGCTGTGCTGCCTCAGGTGCCCAGGCAGGGGTGAGCCCAGCTGCTGTGCTGACAATGAACACCACACGCTTTGCATTCTCCTTCCAGCCCCTGCTGCTGAACACCACCGAGGACTTCAACGACTCCGTCCCCACCAACCGCAGCGGCGACGGGTTCTGCGAGCAGGTCTTCATCAAAGCCGAGGTCTTCTTGACTCTGGGGATCATCAGCCTGCTGGAGAACATCCTTGTCATCCTGGCAGTGCTGAAGAACGGGAACCTGCACTCTCCCATGTATTTCTTCCTCTGCAGCCTGGCCGTGGCAGATATGCTGGTGAGCATGTCCAACGCCCTGGAGACCGTCATGATCGCCATCCTCAGCAACGGCTACCTGGTCATCGACGACCACTTCATCCAGCACATGGACAATGTGTTTGACTCCATGATTTGTATTTCTCTGGTAGCCTCCATTTGCAACCTCTTGGTCATAGCCATCGACAGGTACATCACTATTTTCTATGCCCTCCGTTACCACAGCATCATGACGGTGAAGAAAGCCCTGACCCTCATTGTGCTCATTTGGGTGGCGTGCATCATCTGTGGCATCATTTTCATTGCCTACTCGGAGAGCAAAACTGTCATTGTGTGTCTCATCACCATGTTCTTCACCATGCTGCTGCTGATGGCCTCTCTGTACGTGCACATGTTCCTGTTTGCCCGCCTGCACGTCAAGCGCATCGCGGCGCTGCCCGTCGAGGGCGTGCCGCCCCAGCGCACCTGCATGAAGGGCGCCGTCACCATCACCATCCTCCTGGGGGTCTTCATCGTCTGCTGGGCGCCTTTCTTCCTCCACCTCATCCTCATCATCTCCTGCCCCATGAACCCCTACTGCATCTGCTACACGGCGCACTTCAACACCTACCTGGTGCTGATCATGTGCAACTCGGTCATTGACCCGCTCATTTACGCCTTCAGGAGCCTGGAGATGAGGAAGACTTTCAAAGAAATTGTGTGTTGCTGCTATGGCATGAGTGTGGGACAGTGCATGCTGTAAAACACCTGGTTTTGGGTGGAAAAAACACGCCATAGGTGTATATAAATATAAATATATTTATGTTTATGTTGAGATGCAGAGCAGCTCACTTTAAACGCAGTGCCTGAAGGAAGGGTGCAGGAAAGACAAAAGCCTCCTACGTGATGCCTTGTTTCCTACTTTTTAGAGAGAAAACCAGTTTCAGCTGAATTATTTGAAGTTTTTTAAATGGTTATAATGGAAGGAAATCCAGAGTGGCTTACAAAACAGCTTCAAAAACTTACTGGGAGAAAGGAATCCTGAAAGGGAATGCCACTTTCTAGAGACTGAGATAACATTCCCTCTAGCATTCATCTGTGCCTGTTGCTTTATCTCAGTGCCACTGCCAACAAGTCAGTGCTTTCTAAAAGAGTCCATTAGTAACCTCTGTGAAAAGCTATTTTCCCAAACACCAACAGGTAACAGCATTGTTCTACACGCGCCTTTTAATGAAAGAATAGACTGACATTTTTGCTGCTTGCAGCCTGAGTACAGTTTTCAAAGGGTGAAAGCAAACACTTCTCTTGCTCTGAAATCAGTTATCACTACAGTGTCAGTGACAGCGCGGCTTCAACAGCTGCCTGATAGGATTGACTCATGTGAAGGCTTTTGCATTATTTATTGTGATATAAGAGTATTATACCCTTGAATTTTTGATTATTTTTTTAAAGCTGGAATGCCCTGATCAATGTAGTAATTGCTACCTTTGTAAAAACTCATAGCAGCCTCCTTTTGATAAATCCTCACTAATGAGATCCACGGATCCGAGCAGCAGAAAGAGCTAAAATGCAAAACACTTTGAATGCAGCTTTGTGTAAAAGCTGCAGGGAGTCCTTAGAAATATCCACCTCTAAGTTCAGCAGCTGGGAGGAATCAGATGAGTGTGGCAGAGAGGACTTTACCCATTGAGAAACAAATCCCCTGGGGCAGGACAATGTAAATGTCCTTCCTGCAGCTCTAGGCTGCTCTCAGGGGCTGGGTGCTCCTGCCCTGGGCACAGGAGGGCACCGGGGCTCTTTGCCACCCTCTCCAGCCCCCTGGGTGTCAGTGCCATGCTCAGCCAGCTCCTGCAGCTACACCAGCTCAGCCTTTGCCTCTGCTTTCTGCAGAAGCAAACCCACAAACCCTGCAGGTGCCTTCAAGCAGCTCACAGTCACCAAGCAGGGGCTGCTGCAGACATGGGCACAGGCAGTGGCACCACCCTGGGGACAGGCTGAGAACATCCTGAGCCATCCTAAGGGCTGCTTGGCACCTTTCTGGTGCCTTGCTTTCAGCAGGGGGGGATCCCCAAACCCTCAGAGGTGTCTGATGCTTTCAAACATCTCAAAAATCTCATTTGACTTAAAACTCTCTGTTTTATTTCTTCTTATTTTGGGTGGAGTTGCTGGGTTGATATTATTACTATTATTATTATTATTATTATTATTATTATTATTATTATTATTATTATTATTATTGGGTTTTTTTCCTGGGACTGCCCTCTGCCAGGTGAGAATCAGTTCATGAGGATCTGTTCATGCACCCAGAGCTTCCCCAGCTCCTGTGCCCCCAGTTCTGCCCCACGCTGGTGCTGCTGTTCCAGTGGCTCCAGACCCAGCCCTGCTGCCTGTGGGGAGTCACATTTCCCACTCTGCACCTCCTGGCCAGTGTTTGATCCTCAGCATCCCACAGGAACAGCCCCATCTCCCAATCTCATGGGCTGGATAATCCTCCTGGGGCCAAGAACCAGCTCTCCCCATGCTCCAGCCACACTCTGTCCCACCTCAAACCAACCTCACATTCCCTGTTCCTCCTGCCCTCTGATCACACCCAAAATTCCCTGATTGAGTTCTCACCTCCTCTCATAATCACACCCTCCAGACTTCCCCCTTTCCAGCACTTACCCAATCCTATAACCCTTCATTTTAGAAAGGTCAAATTAAAATAATTTAAAAATAATTTTAAAAAAGCAAAACCTCACTGTGGAGCAGAGCAGGCACAAATGGAAATTCTCCCTGTTTCAAGAAGAGACCAAAGAAAATCCCACTGATGGCAAAGCCAAAAGCTTTCAGCTTTATGTGCGTGTCACGAAGCCCAGCTGTGTCCTGCTAGCCCAGCCTGTCACACCTTGCAGCAGCTGATGTGGCACATGCAGGTGAAATCAGCATGGGAAACCACAAAACTCCTGTGGTGTGCACAGACTGTGCCTACCTGTTGTAAAAAATCTCTGCTTTTCCTCAGTGTTCTGTATCCCCACACTCTGGAGCATGGTTTGCCACAATGTTCTGCCTCAGGTTATTGTGTATTTAGCTCTTGCTGCACCTGATGTCCTCCTTATTTCTCTGATGTCCTACTTTTTTCTCTTTTAAAAGCAATTTTAGCAGGACTGATTCAGTGCTTCGCCTCTGAGCAAAACATCCTCTGCTGAATAAAATCTGGAGAGATCACTGGGAATCGTGTTTGCTTCTGTCACAGCAACACACGCAGCAAACCGGTCTGGGGGCTCACAAAACTGAAAACAGAGTCTAACAGTGGGGAAAAGCCTCTTAATTCAGAGAATCATTGAATGGTTTGGGTTGGAAGGGACCTTGGTCAGCCAGTGCCACCCCTGCCGTGGGCAGGGACACCTCCCACTGTCCCAGGCTGCTCCTGGCCTGGAACTCTTCACAAAAATGAGAGGGAAAAGCCAAATGTTCAGTGCCATGTGCAGGAAGAGAGTCCATAAAACCTCCCAAAAGATCCCTGACCCCTTGTGGCACCGGGTGACCCAGGAGGGAGGGAGGGATTGCTCAGCCCCAGGGTTTGTGCACACCCTGAGCCCTGCTCTGGAATTCTGTGGGGCACTGATGGATCCAGGGCTTCCCTGGTGGGAGGGGAAACAGGGAAGGACCATGGGGCTGAACCCCAAAACAGCAATGAGAGAGGGAATACTCACAGCTACAGAGCCAGGGGGGGAGGAAAGGGAAAGGGAAAGGGAAAAGGGAAAAGGGAAAGGGAAAAGGGAAAGGGGAAATTGGAGGGGAAAGAAAGGGAAATGGAAGGGGAAAGGGGAAAGGGGAAATGGGAAGGGGGAAAGGGGAAAGGGGAAAGGGGAAAGGGGAAGGGAAAGGGAAGGGGAAAGGGGAAGGGAAAGGGAAGGGGAAAGGGAAAAGGAAGGGGAAAAGAAAGGGAAAAGGAAGGGGAAAGGAAGAGGAAAGGAAAGGGGAAAGGAAACAGAAAAGGAAGGGGAAAGGAAGAGGGAAGGAAAAGGAAAAGAAGGGAAAAGGAAGGGAAATGGAAGAGGAGTGGAAGGGAAGAGCAGGGCTGCACTGCACCCAGTAGGACAGACACAAACATGGTGATGAGAGGGGAGCCTGGAATGGTGCTCAGCCACCCCCAGGGACAGGGACCCAGCAGGAGCCACCCAGGAGACAGAGCCAGGGCCAGTGCCCAGCCCTGCACCTCGGGCTGTGCTCACAGCATCCAAACCCAGGGCAGGGCCCCTCTCACCGTGCAAGCAGAGCAACATTTCCAGCTGGGAATCTGCCCCTGGGCAGGGCTCCAGTGAAATGCCACCACTTGTACACCAGCACATAATCACCACCTGTATGCCAACATATAATCTGATCCTAATAAGAAATGTTTCTTCCTTGAGGAGAGTGCTGGGCTGAACAAGATATGTGCAGTTTCCCCCCAGATGGTCTAAGAAATGGCAGGCTAAATTATATATTTTGCATCTAAAGGTATCATTATTATGGATTTATTGAGTCAGTTTTTCTGCAGGAAAATCAAGAAGTTCACAGACACTGTAGGATTGCCATTTGCTCAAAGACATGCTAGGAAATCCTCATATATTTAAGACAAATATTTGAATTCCCAACAACATGAGTTATCCTGCTAAGTCAACTCCACACAGCATATTCTGCCAATTACAGATAGATTTGTTTCTTTCACATGAAATTCAGCACTGTGCAGGCAATTTCTCCATCAATTAGTGTCTAAATATTTTATAATTGACAGCATTTGTATTAATGGGCAAATAACCAAGTCAGGCACAGAGCTCTGCAGTCAAACAAGGCCATTGTTCAGACCATTGGTACAAACATTGCATTGCCACTGAAATAAAAGGTTTCTATTTGCTGAGGCCTGGGTGGGGAGCAGGGTTTGCTGTTTGGTGCCTTCACCCAAACCACTGAGGTGATTTGGGAGGAGCCAGCAGATGGGTGTCACCAGAGACACTGGGAACCCCTTTGCTGTTTGCAGCCCAGTCTCAGCCCCAGAGCCCTGGGACAGCACGAGGGACACCAGGGGACCAGCAGGGGCACAGCAACTGTTCCACAGCTCCCTGCCCCACATCCAAGGGGAAAATCCACCCTTATGGGATGATTCAAGACTTCAAAGTGAAATAGAGGGGGTTAAATGGGATATTGGGGATACTGGGGAGGAATTCTGCCCTGGGAGGGTGCCCAGAGCGGCTGTGGCTGCCCCTGGATCCCTGGCAGTGCCCAAGGACACTGGGGCTGGGAGCACCTGGCACAGTGGGAGGTGTCCCTGCCATGGCAGGGGTGGCACTGGGTGGGATTTGAGGTCCCTCCCAAGCCAGAGCATTCCATGATGCCACAGCCCTGCCTGCAGCCAGGAATGTGAGCACACCACCAGCTCCTCCTGGCAGTGCCATGCAGATTTTCCTCAGCCCGGGGTGAACACCTCAAAGGGAAGATCAGGTGAAAAAGAGGAGAGGCAAGAGAAGGCTGGGTGGGGACACAGTGTGAGCAGGTGTGAAAAACAGCCCTGGGTGCACCTGGGGATGTTTGAGATGTGGGAGAGGGCCAGGCCTGAGGGTGAATATCTTTGGTGCCAATCAGGACACAAGAAGTGTGAAATCAGGAGTCTGCAGCTGATTAAGCCAGACTTCATCCTTGTTCCTGTCTGATCTCCCAAAGCCTGCACGTTACTCCTGCCTTCAGCCTCCAAGACCAAAGCACCTCTTCCCAAAGCCCTCCAAGTGAGTCTGAGCTTATTCTGCACTTGGGCAAAACACCAGACCTTGCACTTGCAGCCTTTTATTGCCTCTACTTACGGTCAATTATGTGCTACTTGTGAAGTTTGCCTTTAGTAATCTTAAAACTGTACAGCGTGTACTTGGAAAGGTCTGAATCTAAATCAAGGACTCGTAATTTCAGGGTTTGAAATGGTACAGGGACAGTAAATAAATGTCATCTTTCATTTCCAAATTTCTCTGCATGAAAGGAACTGGCTTGGGGAATCCAAAACTTTTGGCAAAACACAACAGAAAGGAGACAGGACCAAATAGGGAGCATGCAGTAAATTTATTTTTAAGAAAGTAATTAATGTGTTCGAACATCCAGCTTGGTGTACAAAACTTAACCCAAACACTTGACTGCTGTCTCACAAAGGGAGCTGCATTGTCTTTGATGTTTATGTAACAGCCCATGCATTTCTGCAGAAGGACAGCTG